GGACATTTAATTTCTCTATAAGTAAACCCATGATTAAAATGTTGCTTTATGTTAAATATAAGACTCTTTTGAATAAATGTAGCACACCTGAAAAGCTAATGCCATTTGATAGTAGTTATAAAAGTAGTAAAAATATTTTTAAAAATTAGTTAACAATATTGCTTCAGGAAACTCACTTTCTCTTTTGTACAATCGCAAATTAAGAGATAGATTCTTTGTGAATGAAAGTAGAATTTTATCTGACTATGATTTATTAGAAAGTTTAATGGTATTTAAATATAGTCATAACTCACTGGTGCTGGTGGGTTGCACTTGCAATTCTAGCTACTCAAGAGGCTGAGATCTGAGAATTGCAGTTTGAAGCCAGACTGGGCAGCAAAGACCATGAGACTCATTGCCAACTACTACCAGAAAGCTGCAAGTGAAGCTGTGACTCTTGTAGAAGAGTGCAAGTCTTCAGCACAAAAGCGTAGGGAGAATACCCAGGCTCTCAGTTAAAGCTGAAGAACAGACACAGACAAAAAAGACATACAAATAACTCCTCTAAAAAAACAGTGGCATTACGTAAAAAGGGTCTAAATTACAGAGTTATATGAAATAAGGAACTTAATGTATAGAACCAAATTTTTTAAATTTCTTGTTTAAAAACAGAATATTGTCTAAATTAGTTTGTAATGATTTCATGATCTAAGCATTCAGATTTTATACTGGGGGTAGGATTAGAATGATTATTACTTTTCAGAAGAATTTATACTTCTTGGAGAACATTATTAGTTTGCAAGTACTTATCTCCAACAAGTTCACTTAAAAAAAGGTCCTAAATCCAAAGTTCTTCCCAATGTCCTGGCATCTTGGGAGTCACTTGGTCTGTTGGGCAGAGACAATTCAAATTTGGTGAGCACATAAAAGAACTTTAGTTTTATGTGTCCTAAAGATGTTTAATTCTCTTTGGTGGTTTTACTTGGTAATAGCTATGCCCCAGAAAACCATTTTGTTTAACCAATGTGATAAGTTGACAATGTAGTTTTTCTCTCTGATTATAATGTACTCTGTGTAGTCAATACACTGGTACCATGTGAGTGTAATTTCCTCTTTTATTTTATCTCCAATGCACTGTATTATAAATAAACAGTTAAAAAAAACACCAAACAAATCTGTTGCATCTCCTTTTAAGATTGTACCACTGTAGACACTTGTTCTAGTAAAGTAGAATTGGGCGCATTTGATTGCATTTAAATTTTTCATGCTTCAGCAGTTTGGCTGGGAGCACAGTAAAGAAAAATCCCATGAGCGAGGATAGTTTAGAATAATAGAACTTGATTTTGTGTATTATAGCGGCAACATTTGCGCTGCTTTAGTTAGGGTTGTGTCAGCACTTCCATTATAAACCCCTGTTTTCAGGGGGTATAACTAGGAAGATTTTTTTTTAATACAAATTAAAAAAAACAATTCATTTGAATGATTTTAAGTTATAATAGTGCAAAAATAAAACAAAGTAAGTCATATAGAAATTGACCGTTTTCATAAAGATTTTAATTTTCTTTTCCTTATTAGTTGTATATGGCACCAGCTAGGGTAGGGTGCTACTCTACTATATTGGGAGGAGATGAAGATTTTTGTAATAAAAAAATCACTGATATAAGGATTAAAAATAAGTATGAACAATCCATGTTGTGTTTAAAAACATTAATTAATAAACTGTATTTGAGTTTCTAAAGACTCATAAACTGTATGAGTTTCTAAAGGAGAATAACTATGGTGAAGTGGTTATAGTAAAGAAAAATGTTTGTTCAGGTTCTAATTCAATGCATCTAATAAAATATTTAAAAATGATAGCTTAAGAAAAGGAATGCATGATAATACCACCACTAAATTGAATAATTATGTGACATAATTGTGTAAAACACCTAGTAAAGTCAAATCTGATAGTAAATTTAAGATTTAATTAATAAACTGTGTAAAATTTTATACATTTTTTATCTTAAAGAACCTCCCCACCTAGAACAAAATAACAACAAAGATAACAATAAAAAGAGTTTTAAAAGGCCAAATAACAATTTTATCTACAGGAATTCTCAGTTTTATTTAAGGATAAAAATAAATCATTTTCCTCCTTGAATAACATATTTAAGAAATATGATGAAATGAACAAATGAAATCAAATACGTTCAATATAGAAAGGTATTCTTGGAATGAGACATTCATTTCTTTGCTAGAGTGAGGAATTTCAAAGTTGAATGTATTTTCCTTAGTTGCTAGCCATTGTTTTTCAACCTCCCTCATGGTCCATTTCCCTAATGATAGTGTGAACTGAAGATGACATCAGACTACTGCTTTTTGTCTTTTTTTTTTGGCAGCCTATCTTCTATTTGCAACCTTGACACACATTTGTATTTGTAGGTGCAAAATAAAAGACAAACTGTGTGATGCTATAAATAAGTAGCTTTCCTGAATGGTCACTGGAGGAATCACCAGAAGACTGTTGATGAAGTAGAGGTGAAGCCTTTCCTCACTAATTGTATTCAGCGTGTAATTTCTAAACTTCCCTCTGAATTTTGATTTTCAATTAACACTCCCCATTTGAAGATAATTTTCTATTTAATGTAATTGCAGGAAATAATTTATTGGCTGATTAAGACTGAGGACCCAGCCTTCCTTAAGAAAACACTCTAACAAACCAGCCTTTAAACTCAACTCATAGCTTTGGACAGATTTAGTCTATTTTTACAGCTGCACGGTTGTGTTTAATTAGGATTGTGCACTATTGTTCACTGGCACAGTTTCTAGTTGAATTTATGTTTAAGAGACTGTTTTCATTTTGGGTTTTGTGTCATGATTAATTTATACTAAAGCAACAATCACAGTTACTGCTATTGGTAAGGGACAATTCACTTTATAATAAGATGATATTTGTGGAGGGGAGCTAAAGTCACTCTGAATTTTGGATCATGACTTTCAATTTTATTTAGCTGTTTTAAAAAGAAGCAGTAAATTAATTCTTTTGCTTTAAAAATATGAGTGATTACATAACTGGTCAGTATCCATTATCTGAACTATGAAAACACTGTTATTTTTAGATAGATCTTGGTAAACTTACAAAAGTTATAATTTGCCTGATTTTACTATAGTGTTGATGGGGCTGGTAAAGTAAGCTCTGTAATGATTTTTTATACCAAGAAGCATCATTTGGTAATCATTTTTTCATGTATGTGTGCACTTGTCTATTTAAGTACTGATAGTGCTCATAAATGCATTTGTATGATTTTTTAAAAAATATAACACACTTTAAACATTCACTTCTTTTCTTCTCAAAGAAAACATAGGCACTCTTCTGCAGTCTCTTTCCTCATCTTATTTTTTACTATCAAGTCTAATAGATGAAATTTTTATTATTTGTAGAATGATTATTATAAGTAGGTATCAGCATTTTAATATGTTTCAAAGCACTTCAAAAGCTTGTAATACTTTTATTTAGAACTATGCATAATTAGATAAGCTGATCTTATATTAATTTTTTTCACTGTAGGATACTAAATCTGAGCCCCCTCATTAATTGTGAGAAATTTAGCATTAGCTGTTAAATCCTATGTGAAACATGGGCTGCTACATAAAAACTACTGTTTAAATTGGAATTAACTTAATTATTTTTCTTTGCACTTGATATTTCCTTCACTGCAATATTCATGAAAGCATGTGACAGATTTGTAAATTTAACTGTTAATCTCAGATTTCTAGACCCTTTAATCAGTATTTATTTGTCTGTGGAAACAGTACTAGCAAGTTAATGATTTGCTAATTTGAAAAATGCTCATGTGGTTTTCTATGTTAACTGATTTGTGCATTAAAAAATAGTATGAAATCAATTAATGTTAAAGAGCAATTAAGGTAGAGGATTTATTCCTTTTATTACACAGCAATTTTAGAGCTAGAGACTCAATAAACGAAAAACAATATAAAGTTTTAGAAAAAATGGTTTCTTTTGTTAAGGTATAACTTTTAGAGGTTTTATTACTTACCATTTTGCTAAGAAATTCATCTTGATAAAGTGATATTCCAAAAGTTTCAAAGTTCTGTTAAATAATCTTGATTTTCTGATTGCATATAACAGTACAGAATGAAGACTATTTCATACAGAGTACAATAGATGTTTATTTGTAGATTATATAAATGAATGTTCAATGTTGTTTTGGAAGCTTTTTAAATATGTTTCAAAATGACAGTGTTAGGCCTGTCATTCATAACGCAAGGTATAAAGTAATAAGTAAGTATGAGATTTGCTTAAGAGTTTCACTATAGATTATTTACTCTAATTATATTTTTGAACATATATTTATTTTGTTCCTATATAAACCATAGGAGAAAGTTGGATAGTTTTGCTTGCTACAAAAACTGGCTCATTCGATAGTTCATTCATTTCATTGCTAATCATCAGCCTAATTACTTTGTGTATGGGGCAGGGTGTGGGTGGGTGGGTCATGGTGCTTGAACTGTGGGCCTGGGCACTGTCCCTCAGCTCTTCAACTTAAGGCTAATGCTCTACCACTTGAGCCACAGCGCCACTTCTGGCTTTTTCTGCTTATGTGGTGCTGAAGAATCAAACCCAGGGCCTCATACATGCAAGGCAAGCGCTCTACCACTGAGCTACCTTCCCAGCCAATTTACTTTCAAAAAGCTTATAATCCAGTTGGGAAAACTAGGAGGAAAGATGTATATATATGTTGTACATGATGAAAATTTACTCTATTAAAAATTTTATTTTTTGATTTGGATAAGACAATTACTGGGAAGACATTTTCTAAATTGAAAAAAGCAAAGAGGGAAAGTAGAATAGATAAGCCAAGAATTTAAAGTGGCTCACTACTGATTTAGAATATCTCTAAATTCTGAGAATTTCTTTTTTCTTTTTTTTTCCCCCTCTGAATGAGTTAAATGCAAGGCACAGCTTATCTTCTGATGTTGATTTCCCCTTTTTAATGCTTGGGGTTTTCTTCCTTCTGCAGAAGAATGTCTTCCAAGCAAGCCACCTCTCCATTTGCCTGTGCAGCTGATGGGGAGGAAACAATGACCCAGGATTTGACCTCAAGGGAAAAAGAAGAAGGCAGTGATCAACATGTGGCCTCCCATCTGCCTCTGCACCCCATAATGCACAACAAACCTCACTCTGAGGAGCTCTCAACACTTGTCAATACCGTTCAACAAGATGCTGACTGGGACAGTGTTCTGTCATCTCAGCAAAGAATGGTGAGCTTTTACAATATGCTGTGGCTACTAAGTTTGTTAGTATGTCCTAGTTATAAATAGACATTTTAGGGCAAGTTCAAAATTTTAATGGTATCAGAGTTATTTGTGTTCAAGTAATAAAACAGCCATGGGGAATATAATGACTATAAAACTTGGAAGCTAGGCACCGGTAGATCCCTTCCGTAATCAGGAGGCTGAGACCCGAGGATCAGGGTTCCAAGCTGGCCCAGGCAAGAAAGTCTGTGAGACTCCTATTTCCATTTCATCAGCAGAAAAGGACATGAATCTCTTTATCTCCATAAAAAAGCTGAAAGTGGAGATATGGCACAAGTGGTAGGGTGCTAGCCCTGAGCAAAAGAAGCTCAGGGATAGAGCCCAGATCCTGAGTTCAAGCTGGAACAAAACAACAAAATATGGAAACTGGTTTGTTTTTATGTCCTTTGCTAGGTCCACTTGACCAAAAATACTTTATTTAATTATCTATGTATCTATCTATGTATCTATGTACTATGTATGTATATATGTATGTTTGTATCTCTCTCCCTCTGTCTTTTTTGTATGGGAGAGAGTTGGTTTCTTAGTCTCTGAATCCTTAAATAAAATGAGATGAACTTGATAATATCACAAAATAGGTATGATGAAACAAACAGTGATTGTATATTCATATTGAAAAATTCAGTCAAGAAAATGTATATATGGATAACTATAACAATTTCCTTATTTCAATAAGTAAATGCTAGTATTTATAATTTGTGAATATAATAAAACTTTTCTCATGTTCCTATATAATAATTGTAAAAGGACATCAATGCTCCTGAGTATCACAGAGTCAGACTGCAGGACTTTGCAGAAATAACACATCAAATAAATACAGAGTGTTAGCCAGTTCTCTTGTGTTAAATTCTGTCTTTTAATCATCAAAATACAAAGCATAATGACGTTAATTTTCTAGTTTCAAGCAAAATACTTTTATTTTTAACACTAAGAAGAAACTAAAATCCTTAATATTTTTATTTTTTATTTTTCATCAATACTGGGAATTTAACACTTGTATTATTCAAATCTGGTGCACTACCACTTGAGCCACAGCTCCACTTTCAGCTTTCATTGGTTAACTGGAGATGAGTGTCACATGGGCTTTTCTATCTTAGCTGGCTTCAAATCACCATTCTCATATCTTTGCTACAAGCAAAATTTTGGGTCTTGGCAACTGCTAAGTTTCTTTTGTCTCTAGTTTTTGTTATCTAAAATTTCATCAGAATATATATATTAAAAATGTATAGGCTAGGCACTGGTGGCTCATGCCTGTAATTCTAGCTACTCAAGAGGCTGAGATCTGAGATTGTGGTTCAAAGGCTATAAGACTTTTATCTCCAAATTAACCTTCAATTAACCTTTTATCTCCAATTAACTTGAAGTGGAGCTGTGGCTCAAAGTGGTAGAGTACTATCCTAGAGCCTAAAAGCTCAGGGACAGAGCCTATTCCCTGAGTTCAAGTTCCACAGCCAACAAAAAAAAATTGCTTATTAGCTAGACACAGGTGGTTCATGCCAATAATCACAGCTACCCAGGAAGAGGAGGTCTGAGGATCATAGCTCAAAGCTAGCCCAGTCAGGAAAGTCTGTAAGACGCTTATCTAAAATCAACCAACAAAATGCCAGAAGTAGAGCTGTGGCTAGCCTTGAGCAAAAAATCTCAGGGACAATGTCCAGGTTCTGAATTCAAGCACTAGAAGCAACCCACACATAAAAGTATATTAAATTTTCTATTAATTATATTAGATAATGATACATAATAGTATACATAGTTTAAAGTTATAAATACATTTTGTATTAGTGTGCAAAAATGCTACTACTAGAAATGTCTCAAATTTTTATTGTTTTGTTTTTGTGACAGTACAGGGTCTTGACCTCAGAGGCAAAGGTGCTGTATCTGAATTTTTATGCTCAAGACTGACATTCTACCACTTGAGCCATTGCTCCATTTACAGATGTTTTTACTGGTTAATTGGAAATAAGAGTCTTAAGGACTTTCTTTGCCTGGGACTTGCTTTAAACCATGATCCTTAGATCTCAGCCTCCCAAGTAGCTAGGATTATAGGCTTGAGCCACTGGTGCCTGGTTTTTCATTCTCTTTTGATGCCCAACTTTTCCTTCCCCTGGGGCCTTTGCGTATCCTAAATGTCAGGAAGCTAAAATATTTTGCCTTACCTCCCACTCCATAGTCCTTCCCAGCTGTGAACTCACATGGTATAATAAAAGGACTTAACAAATGGGAAGTAGCAGCTGCATTTGGACATTTCTCTTATACCCTCTTTTCACTAGATTCAATGATGTGTAACAACTGTACATCAGACCTGTAATGACATACAGCAAGTATAAGTCACTATCCAATTTTTCTTTATTGGAAAAATATAGAAAAATTGTAGGTTGCCAGGCCAACTTAAAAGCCTACACATTGTGTGTGTGTATGCGCGTGTGCGCACACATGTGTGTGTATTTGAATGGGAAGACTGTGATTGGCTAATAAATGTATAACTCATTAAATAAGAAATATAAGTTGGGCAACAGTGGCTCTTTCCTGTAATCCTAGCTACTCAGTAGGTTCAGATCTGAATATTGCAGTTCAAAGCTGGGGCAGAAAGGTTCAGGAGCCTTTCCAATTAAATTGCCAAAAGTCAAAAGTGGAGCTATGATTCAAGTGTTAGCTCACTAGCCCTGAGGAAAAGCTCTGTAACAGTGTCCAGGCTCTGAGTTCAAGTCACAGGACTGCCCCCCCCCAAAAAAATACTAAAAACCAACAAACCAAATTCCAAATAACTAGTAAGTCTAAAAAGTGTTTATGAAGTGTCCTGAAACTTGTAGATCCTACCAGTGGATCACATTTTAATACATAAAATGATTTTGGAGAAATAAAATTTAAAAACAATTCTAAAAACAACAAAGAACTTGCTAGCACCTATTCATTTTTTACTGTTATGTAGTTCCTGTGATGGGCATCATTTTTGGAACAGAAACAGCCCCAAGAGTTTCCTATTTCTTGGGTTCAGGAAGGGTTTTAACCTTGAAATATCACAACCAGAGAGGAGAGTTTCTGTAAGGAAAGGTAAAGAGAATGCAAAGAAGTTCTGCTAATCCCCACTTCCTGATTAGGAATAAAATCTTGATACTTAACAATTCTGATTATTGGTAGGTGGAACTCCAACAAGATAAGACAACATAGTTTTAAACAACCACATAAAAAAGAAGTTGTCACAGGAGAATAGACATTTTAGAAATAGAAGTCCAAAGACTAGTATTCTACAAACATTTGTAGACTCTGATTATAAGTATAATTATGTATAGTAGGAACAACAGAATGTTTAATTTTAAATTTACTGTGTAATATTAATTGCTGACCTGTATGTGGTTGCTAAATGTTACTGTACACAAGATTTTACTCACTTTCTCTATGTATAAGCATTGTTGTTCTCATCATGGCATCAGCAGATCAATAACTTTTTTTGCAGAGCATTGACAAAATATGGTTTTGCTCTCATTAGGATTGCCTTATGAGGTAGGAATAAATTTACACAATATTTCCATGAAATATTGTAGAGTGCATTATTCTTTTTAATGTTATAGCTATGGGGGAACATAGTAATGTTTAGTGGCTAGTATATAACATTATAAGTAATGATTTTCTGCTAGTTTCAAGTGTAGGAAGGACAGGTAAGCCTATGGATTGTGAGCAAACCTGTAAAATTTCTATAGCTTTCTTGGTCAAAATGATATATGACATTCTGCATTTCTTTTTTTCCCTTCTACAGCATAATTTAAAGCGGTATTGTTACCATAACTAGTTACTTATTAAAAAGTCCTTACAAAGATACAAGTAAAAGAATTTGTGAAAAACAGATAATCATTGTTCTCATGGAATTTAAACAATAAGAGACTTAGACAATTTCTGACAGTGATAACTGCCATGAAAAATTAGATAATATGGCAGAGAATGACCAAACAGAAAGTCGTTTTTAAAAATATTCTGGTGGTACTGAACTCAGTGCTGCAGGCTCCAAAGGTTGTCAGGCCCTTTATCATTTTAGCCATGCAACCCTCCCTAAACAGAGGTCTGTTTGAAGAGGAAGCATTATGGCTGAAATTGGAATAATAGGAAGCCACCTGTGTAACAATTTGTGGGAAGACACACAACCACAGTGTATAATAAGTACATTTTTTTTCATATTACTGTTTGAACTCAACACCTTTTTGCTCATTAGACAGGCACTGTATCCCTTACGTTAAACCCCAATCCCTTCTGCTTTGGTTACTGTTTGCATAGACAGACCAATCTTAGAGCAATACATGCTCATGCCACCACTCTTGCCAAAGTCTTTAGATTGCTCTGTTGGAATAACAGAAAACAACAGAGTGCTGTAGTGGAAGAAAATGAGATGAGATGAAATCAAGGAGGCAGGCAGAAGACATGTTATGTCTTAGATTTATTTTACTTATTTATTTATTTTTGTCGGTCGTGGGGCTTGAACTCTGGGCCTCCTGGGCGCTGTCCTGCGCTCTTCAGCCCAAGGCAAGCACTCCACCTCTTGAGCCACAATGCCATTTCTGGCTTTCCAGTGGTTTATTGGAGATGAGAGTCTCACAGACTTTTCTGCCTGGGATGGCTTTGAACCACGATCCTCAGATCTCAGCCTCTTGAGTACCTAGGATTACAAGTGTGAGCCTGTAAGATATTTGACTATTTCAAGTTCCAGCGGAAACCAATGGAAGATTTTAAGCAAGGGTGTAACATAGTTATGTTTAGGCATTAAAAGATCTTATTGCCTGTTGTGTACAGAATGGGAAATAAGTCCGAAGCAGAGAACCTGCCAGGAAACCATGGCCATAATGCTAGTTTGGTGAGAAGTAAAAGAGTAAATAGAGAGGTTATTTACTGAAGAGTTTACAGAGTTGCGAAAGAAGACAAAATTCACACAGTCTAGAGAGAATAGTTCAAGTAATATA